CGCACAATGTGAGTGGTTTCTAAAATTATGTCAAAAAATTTCCCTTTTTCGAAACAGCTGCATGACCCGGCGTTGCACGGGCTATCTCTACTGTTATAAATTGTCCCTTTCTTTCAAAAAATCACAGCTTCTAATACTCATTTGCAAAATGACTCCCCCCTCCACCGCTTAGCCCAGAGTTGCTCAGGCTTTCTTATTTCCTCGTGACACCAGCATTTCTGTGTGTGTGTTTGTACGCGCACAATGTGAGTGATTTCTAAAATTATGCCAAAAAATTTAACTTTTTCGAAATTTGTTCCATTCCACTTATTTTCTTAAATATACTATGTACTTTTTAATTAACAAAGAATTAATTTCGCAATGAAATATATATAATAGAAATAATCCTTTTAAACAAAAATATATATATTTATTAAAATCAAAATTCTATAAGTAATAAATGAAAGAAAAATTAACAGATAGCTATTGAACTGATTGCTTTTTTTCTGAACGTTTGATTAAACATATAAATATATAAGTTAGAAAAAAAACAGTATGGGGGAAGGCATATATATATATATATATATATATATATATATATATATATATATATATATATATACATGTACTGAAAAAAGCAAAAAAAAAAAAAGATCTGATAAAAACATTTTGGTATTTCATTTTAATTTTAACCTTCAAAAAATGTAACAAAAAGGATGCTTAACTATTTCTTGCAAAAAGGGAAGATATATATATATATAACTTTATTATATTAATTTTTAAATATTTTTAAAAACCTCTGAAAAAGAAGAAGTTCCGAATTTTCCCTTGGAAATAAATGATCTTTCCGATTCTCTGCAGATGGCGCCACGTGCATAATAAATGCGTTTTAAGGTTTTTAATTAATATATTTTTAACTAATTGGAATATCGGAATATAAATGGTCAAAACGGATTCCTCGGATCATTCCCGAAATTTTGATACCTTCTGCTAGTTTCTGCGTCTTGTGGTTCTTGAGATCATTGGGCGTCATTCCTACCTATATAGATACGTTTGTTTACCTTCGGATTTTAATAGTGTAGATAATCTTAGAAAATTCACGATATAGCAAATCAAAGAAGTACTTTCGTTCTTTCTAACTAATAAAAATATTAATTCATTGAATTATCGATTCTTTACGAGAAATGGTGAATAACAAAACAAGGTGAACAAAGAAATATTTTCTTCCCTTCCAATTGGACTGCGAATTGGTAATTACCGTTGCAGACCTAGCATATTTCCCGTGAGCTGGTATCGTTTAGTGTGATAGATGGATACCAATTGCCACAATGTAATTTTGACGCCCAGTTTCCTCCCTTCTGACGATGCAAAACTTTACAAGAAATTTAATTTTACCGAAATCACTCGAGCCAAACAGGCACTCAAGGGATCTTTAACATGCTGCATAACCATACAACATGGACGCTATCGATTTTTTGCATCATGAAAATCCATCAACTTTGGCCGGGGTCGAACCCGCAAACTTGGAATTTCAAGGCCATCACCTAACCCAATACGCCACCCAGCCGGCACAAAATAATACATAAATTTTAAGAAGAACAACGCTAAAGATATTTTACGAAGAGATATAAATGTGTAAAAATTCTTAACTGACACTCAAGGAATAACTTCTTTATCTTTGATTTTGATTTAAGTATCAGTGGAATAAAAATTGACATATTTCATTTTAGATTGCTGAAAGGAATTCAAATTGTGGTCGCTAAGAGAAAATCTAGTATTTTAATATTAAAATTCTATATAGCTACTATTAATGACAGTAATACGAAAACTTCTCCCTCCGCAAAATGCCACGTCCTAATTTTTTTCAGATAAAAATAAGAAACAGAATGAGTCTTAAGCGAAACACCTAAATAATTTACATTTTTTAATAATTGGGGCGATACCTTAAAAATCTTGAAAATTTTGACTTCAAAGCATTTGAGACATTAAACATTAAAGAGTAAGCTTTTTGTAGGCTTAATTAAAATATTCTAAGAATTTATTTACAGAAAATATATTCATTACCTCTTCCTTCGTTCTTCTTTTTCCTGTGATATGCTCTACATTGAATTTATTAAATTAAAAATTACAAATTGACTAACATCTTGAGGAAACCATCTAATATACGCTATTGAAATAACAGCTAGCAAAATTTTTTAAGGAAATATATTTTCCCATTTGAATAAAAAATAAATCTCCTTGAATAAGAAATTTTTCATTGTGCTTATTTCGGTAATCTATTAAATTTCCCATTTTTTTAAATTTTATTAATCCATCGGATTTTAAAAATGAAGGGACTTTTTTAATTGGTCATCTACTAGGGGTGATTGATAAGTAAGGTCTCCAATAGTATAAAATAAGTTTCCGACAAGGTAAAATAATAACAGAGGTATCAGAATGAAGGAAATTTGTTACTCTTACATTTATTGTAAATTCATTTCTCAACATAGTCACCACTAACAGCTTCACATTTGTTCAATCGTTCTATCCATTTATTCATTCTGTCCATGGAAAAAGATTGGGGTTGGCTGCGTATCCATTTGCACACGGCTGCCTAAACTTTGGCATCCTGGATTCATCATTATGACCCTGAAAACAAGAGGCAATCTATGGAATATCGTCATCCTTGTTCCCCGAGTGTCAAGAAATTCAAAACTTTTAAATGTCAGCAACAAAAGTCATGTTCACCATCTTTTGGGATGCAAGTGGTGTGCTCTACAAGGAATTTTTGACTAAAGAATTGACGGTGAATTCCGACAGAGAGGTACTGTGCAACATTATGATCACTCAACCAACGCATCTGCAGAATTTGACCGAAAAGAAACGTCTTTCTTTTGCATCACGACAATGCAAGACCATGTTGCAGTACACAAACACAGAACGTGATGAGAAAACTGAAATTCGCAGTGGTTCCACAACCTTTTTACAGCCAGATTTGGCAACGTTGGACTTTTGGTTGTTGCCAAAATTGAATGAGAGGTTGAAAGGTCAACGTGTTTCAACGGGTGCCGAAGTTCAAGCAGCCGTGAGCAAATGGATACGCACCCAACCAGAATCTTTCTTAATGGACGGAATGGATAGAATGATTGAACAAATATCTAGCTGTTAGTGGAGACTATGTTGAGAAATTAGTTTACAATATGTAAGAGTAATATTAATTTCCTTCATTTTGATATGCCTCTGTTATTATTTTACCTTGTCGAAAACTTATTTTATACCATTGGAGATTTTACTTATCAATCACCCGTCGTATTAGAAACTAAACAGGATATTTTTAATAATAAATTAAAATTCCTTTTATATATTAATCATGTGTTTTCCCTATTTATATTTTTAACTCAATATATTGTCAAAATCCCACAAGAAATTAACATTTTTAAAAAATTCAATTTTTAATCATCTTTCAATTTTGAAGTAAGATTTTAAAAGAGAATTTCTTAGCATATATTTAGACTACACGATTCGTTATTTATATCTTCTTTTATTATATAAAGCACAAGCAACAGAATTATATAGCTTGGCTACATCTAATTATACTATTGAAAAATGAGCCTCATTCCCAGAGAGATTATAAGAAGCTGTAGTTTCACAGAAGTCAATGGATAAAATATAGTGCTATACATTGACGAAAAATATTTTTACATATCTTTGAGATTAAACATTTTTTATTGTTCTTGGTCATTAACACGTATGTGTAGCTTTGCTGTTTTAACTTCAAAGCTTGTTATGCATTATCACATTTGCTTTTCATTCAGTAAAAATTGTAATATTTGGATTTTGAATTAATTACCTTTACATAATGATTGTACAAATTTAGAGCTCAACTAATTAGCTATCTTAATAGAGGTAATTTTCATTCAGGAATAATGGACGTTTTGTTTACAAAATATAATAGCGATTACTTCTAACAAAACTACAATATACTCAACTTTTATGAACTTGGAGACGTTAAGAGAGAAAAATTTTAACTTAATAATCCAACGAAATCCAGTCTAGATAAAATCTTGTACAAATGTCAAAGAGATATTAGTAAAATAAAAGAAAACTCTGGGCGTTTTCTCCGGTTGTTTACGATGAAATGAAATGTCTCCGGAATATGAAGACCTACGCTTTAATGACCAGAAAAGTCCTTTTTATCAGCATTCGCTATCGAAAAAAAAAGTTTGTTTTCGTACATTTGAGCAACCATCCCTCTTTTCAACAAACGAATCCCAGGCACGCTATTTTAACATTGGAAAAGGGAGAAAATGTTCGATCTGAAATGAAACAAATATAATCCAAGCTGGAGATAGGGGGAACAATATTGATCCTTCGACGTGACAGGGGCGACTAAGAGGGGCAGCATGAGATTGGAAAAGGAGCTAATGCAGTGTGAATTCACTGATACCAGACTCAGGAATATAGAGCACGACGTGGTGTAATCGTTTCACACAGGGAATAGGGATTAAGAGATCAAGTAACAGGAATCCTCTAGACAGGAAAAGAAAGAAAGAATTGCGTGATCGATACGGAAGTGTTAGGGGCTTTTGTGATGCAATAAGTATCAGGTGAAATAGAGAAACCTGAACTTGAATATGTCAGTAAGAGACATGCTTAGGTTCATTATTGCCATTATAAAAGTATAAAATTAAAGAAATGTATTCAAAGAAACGCACGCATAAAAAAAGTGGGCTCCATTAAAAACTTTCGATGGAAAAATATTTATACATCATTTTTCCAATTCCTACTGATATCATTCACACCCTCTCCCTATTTATACTTATTAATTTATATATATTGTTCAAATTTTCAATCGTCAATAAAATACTTTCTATTCATCCATTCGAGTTCAAATACTTTTTTAAACTTGTGGTGGATGACACTTGATGTTAAAACAGTTTTTTCAAATATTAATTCGTTAATTAAATTAAAAGATGGATAAATAGTTACAAAAACAATAGTCCAACAGCATATATAGAGAGAAGAGTTGTTCGTTGTGTCCCATTAACGCAATGGGTAGCGCGTTGAACTTCGAATCCAAAGGTCGTAGGGTTGAATCCGACCTGAAATGGCCTAATTTCTGAGAATATGTTTCCTTTTTTGCTATACTATTTTATTAGAATAGTTAAATTTAATTAATGAATAAATAGTAACAAAAACAAAAAAAAATAGTCCAACACCCTATATAGTAAGGAAAATGGAAAATTGTTTTCTTTTTGTCACTTAATATTGTGATTCTGTCATATGTATATACATATATTTATATTAATTGTAACTATTTAATAAAAAGTAACTAATATAAAATGTTTCTTTATTGACCTATAAGTAGGAATTGATTTAATTTGTTTTATATTACTTGTTTGTAAACATCTTTTACATAAATTAATTACCTTTTTAAGATATGTTATAAAGTAGAAGCACCAGATACAAATTAGCATGGAATTAATGAAAATTTTGTGACGGGCTCACGCGTCTTTTCTTTAACATGTCAATCACCCTAGAGGGGGGGAGAATTATCACAAATTAGAGTTTTAAAATACACAATAAACCAAAATATGGTGATTATTTAGGAGGTAAATAATCTTGTGAATATATATTTTCTAACAGATTTTTCTTATTTTCTCATTAAACTATGTTTAAGGAAGCAAATTGTACATTCAGTAAAAACGCTATTTATATATTGTGGGTGTAAGAGATTGAACTTATTTAATTTAATTTCCTATTTTCTTTCAAGTTCAAATTGTAAATCAATCACGTATAAACACTGAAAACCATCTATAAAAAATATTTTGCATTTATTTAAAATCTGTCTAGTTTAAAAATTAAATAACTAAGTTACATGATTCAGTTGTTAAAATCAGAGTGTCACGAACTCTCGCCCGTGGAGGTGTTAGAAAGCACAAAAAGGAAGAGACATATTCATAAAACACTTTTATTATAACTATCATATCACTAATCTAAATTCGACCTAAGCTAGGAGGAAGTTATCAGATTGATTCCTAACTTAAATATCTATAATAATCTATTCACTACTTAGCTTGATGATTAAATCCGCATCAGTGCTAATCGTCCTAAATTAACCCGTCTGCTCCTACTACGGCACACACACACAACTTCAATTATTATATCTCTAACGCCCTAGCTTCAGCATGACAACAATTGCCAACCTCTCTCTATCTTTTCTCTTTACTTTATTTTAAACAGCAACTCTCGTGAACATAAATCGCAGTTTCTTTACAGAAAGTTATTTTTATAATCATATAAGGTTTAAAAGAAATTTTCTCTTGATGATTAGTAAGAATCCCGAATAGAACACGGTACAAATGCATTTATTCGAAAGTTTAAGTTGACAACTCTTGTTACATTGATTACAGCATTTTTAATGCTATGTAATAATTACTTTCGAGTGTATATATACCTTTATGATTATTGATAAATATATAAAATTCAGTAAATGTATTTAAAAGTATATATGCTCTATAAAGTGAATAGCGACATACTCAAAAAGAATGAGACGAATATCGGTAAATGTGATGTATATATATTGAAAACGAAACACTATTAATATCATAGGAATTGAATGCTTTATTCAGGAAGCACAGCCACAAAAGCACAAAAAATAAAAAAGATATTGATCCAGTTTTGGTCTTGACGTAAGCTGTTATGGGTGGGAATTCACCCATAGAGTTGATGGCGTTCCTCCTGGGGAACTGCAAGCATTAACGACCCAAATATAGAGTTAGATCAACGTAATCCAGGAAAGGTCGAAGGTATCTGCTTATCAAATCTCAAACGCGCTGTACTGGGAAGAGATCTAGTGATCACGTCATCCAGGGGATAACTGAAGAATCACGAAGACACGATGTCGAAAGGTTTTACGTGTACATTTGGTCATGCCGGCTGGGTGGAGTAGTTGGTTTGTCGCTTGCCTTCTGTACCCAAGGTTGCGGGTTCGACCCCGCCCCAAGTCGGTGGATTTTCCTGATGTAGAAAATTTACAGTGGCCCTATCGTATGATTATACGGCATGAAAAAGATCCTTTGAGTGTTCGTTTTGCTTGGATGCTCTCGGAAAAATTAAATTCCTTACAAATTTCACATCGGCACAGCTCAGGTGCCTCCCTCTGGAGAAGAAACTGGGCGTCAAAATTACTTGCGGTAATAGGTGCCGCACTCAAAAGTGATACCAGCTCCTGGGGAATGTACTAGGTCTCTACAAAGGTAGAAATACCAATACGCAGCCCCATTACAGAAAAAAAATATTCTGTCATTATCCTGTTGAAATGCAAGTCCATGGATGCGGGAAAGATAGAACAACACTAAGAGGCACAGAATATCATCGACCTACTACCATAATGTAAGCACGTTTGAATGACAATCAAATGGTTCTGTTATCAAATGAAATGCCGCATTATAATTCCTAATTTCTTAGCTGTATGGGGTAGGACAGTCAGTTAAGAATCTCATCTCCATTCTGTAAGTCTCTAAATAAGTCTCTACTGCTCAGTTCGAAACAGAACTCGTCTATGAAAATAATTATTTCCAGTTCATGACATTCCAAATTGAATGAAAATGAAACCACAACAGACGCGCCTGGTGGTGTATAATGTTGACAGACCGTCAGTACAATGGCCTCCGTAAACTTAATACCCGTTTGTTAAGTCGCTTATCAATGGTCGCTGGAATCACTGGTGTCTCAATTACGCATCCAATAGTTAATAAGGATGCATTAGACACTATGAATATCAGTCGGATTATCCCTCTGTCTTTGCGTTCTGTCGTCGCTTTTCCTTGAAATGGTCAGTCCTGATTCCTCTATTTCTGCCATCATCGTTGAATGGAAGTATTGTTTGGTCCAAAATGGCAAGCAATGCAGCAATTTGATCATCCCGCTTCCTTTAGTTCAATTGCGCGTCCTCTCTCAATAGGTGGCGTCTGCTCATATTGTTCGTGAATTCATCTGTGAGGCATTAGTGTTGTCCATGTAGGTCGAAGAAACTACATTTGCAAGGAAGTTATATCTTATCACGGGAATGCCCTCTATTTGGTACACCGTTTGGATGCTCCTTTCAGTGACCGTGAATTTCAACTTCTTAGTCATTAGCGGTCAAAAGTTAATCATTTACATTTATTTCATAAGAATACGCATATAAAATTTCGACCAATTCCCATAGCTCATGGTTGTCTTTTTATTGTGTGTGCGTGCGCATATCATTTAATTAGTTAGGAGTCTCCAAATGTGTCTTATTTTTAAGACACATTTATATACATATATATATCAACATAGTATTCCTCATGATACATGAACGTAACAAAAAAAATGAAATTTTTTCTGAAAAATATGCTGTCACTTTTTCAGTCAAAGTTCTAAATATATTAAAGACTGGTTACATCTTTAACTGAAACCAATGGCTTTGTTCTAATAAACGTTTCATACGAAAAGAAATCTAAATTTTTATATAAATGAATACTTGTGACAAATTCTCGCTCGTGGAAGTGTAAGAATGGCCTAAAGGAAGAGGCACATTCATAAAATCAACACTTTTATTATGACTATCAAATTACTATCTAAATTCGACCTAAGTTAGGATAGCCGTCAGATTAGTTCCTAATTTAAATATCTATAATAATACATTCGACATACTTATAGTGCAAGGTAGATCCTTTGCAATGCTAAGCGTTTTAAATTGACCCGTCGTATCCTTTTTCTTGAACCCGGTAGTTTCAAGTAGCACTTCTTTAACCCTTTATCTACCGCATTATGATTTACTGGAGTTTTTTTTCCTGCAATATTTTTTGAATCACTACATTGAAAATTAAGGGATATACATAAACAAAATACTTAACTTTGGGAAATTTAACCCATTAGAGCTAATTAATTAATTAAAGATAATCAACTGTAAAATTATTTTTATACACTGTTCACTTAAAATAAATAGTCAAATCGTTTTCTAAGGTCTTCATTTACATACAAAAAAATAAGACACATTTTGATATTAACTATTTTTCGGAGCAAAAATAGCAATCTTCGAAGTCCGCTGAAAATGCAATTTCTGCTATAAAACTATTCGCCTTACCCGCTAAAATACTCATCATAGAACCCGTGCTGCCATTTGTCTTGGAATAGTGGATTTAAAAGAATATTCCTGCTAAGTATCGTCAGAGTATTCGTACAAATGGTTATTCTATGTAATTTTAAAGTGAGTCGTACTTATAAGTACCGTCGGTAGATAAAGGGTTAACGCCGTAGCCTTAGCATGGTAACAATCGCCAGCCTTTCTTCAACTTTCCTCTTCACTTGACTGTAAATAGCAACCCTTATTGACCCTTAATGATTGGCGTAATTCCTTTAAATGAAGTGATTTTATAGTCATATAACGCCATGAAAGGGTTACCCTAGAGCAGCGATACTCAACCTGTGGCCCGCGGGCTGCATGTGGCCCACCGAGCCTTTTTTCACGGCCATTGCTCTGAGAAATTCACTTACTAAAAATTTGGTGAGAAATTCTTTGTCAAGAAATCAAGTATAGGAATTTTGCTTTTTGCTGTCAGTGTCCAACGGGTTCGAATTGACATTCTTTTTCTATTTGAAACGGTTACGGTTAGAGATAACAGACAACAGTGGAGTAGCGATAATTTTATGGGTGGAATTAATTGGTAATTATCTTTCATATCTTGCAAGCAAACAATATTCGAAGAAAATGTATTGTTTCAAGATGGTTGAGAGGTTGACTATTTTGTAGTGAAAAACAAACATGCATCAATAATTGTTTGATTTTTCATGAAAGTGCTGTTTTTTAAAAATACCAATAAACAGGAATCATTCAATGACACTTTTCCTCGAAGATCTTTCAAGAAGTGATAAATAGGCTTTCTTGAATAATCTTTACAACAGCAACAAATTGTTTTGTCAGTGGTAATATCATAGCGGTAACAAAGACATCCTATGAAGTTTGTTATATTATTGGTAATCATATGAAACTGCTTACTGTTTCAGAAATTGTGAAGGAGTGTTTCTTAAATGCTTCTAATTTAGTGCTAGTAACAAAAACAAAGATTAAGTCGCCCAGCC